TGCAGCTCTGATTGGTACTGATCGGTGATGCTAATGTATTTGTATTTGCATTTGAATTTGAATTTGACCTCAGCTGATACCCCACATACATACGGGGCTATTACGTGTCATTAGTCTGACAGATAAAACAGTATGTCAAAAAACGACGGAAAGTGATAAGGGATAAAAAACACAAAAGCATGCTCTGATTGGTATCACCCGATGGTGTTCTGAGTGGTACCGGCCGGTGGTGCTCTGATTGGCATCGACCAGTGGTGTTCTGACCGGCACCCCCGATGGTACTCCGACTGGTTCCGGTCATTGCATGGCGCTCCGACTGGTACCGGTCGGTGGTGCTCTGACCGGTGCCGGCCGATAGTGCTCTGATTGATATTGCCGATGGCGTCCTGATCGGTACCGCTCGCTGGTGTTCCAACTGGTACAGCCCGGGTGGCGCTCTGACCGGTACCGGTCGGTGATGCTCTAATTGACACTGGCCGGTAGTGCTCTGATTGGTTCTGACTGGTGATGCTCGGTTCGATACCTCCGATGATGCTCTGACTGGTATCGCCCGGTGGTGTTCTGATTGGTACCGGCTGGTGGTACCCCTGTTTGGTATCGGGGGGAGGGGAGGCTCAAATACTCGTGTTTTCAGGTACTTGTTGGTTGCGTGTTATCTCTTCTTCAACTGACATATTATGTTTGTTGTGCTGTTCAAACCATGGAGCTGATAAGTAATATGCCTTGGAGCCCATTATGCAGCTCATCCTAGGAGATCACCTTAGATACGGTGACAAAGGAAAAGTTCACCGAGGTTTATGAAAATCTGTGCACAGGCTGGATGACGCCGGCCTGATTTTACCCACACTTTGTCCTTACCAGACTGAATGGTTTGTAAGATCGTCGGGACGGGTTCGGGCTCTCCTCTAGCAACCCTTTTTAAAAATGCACTCTGTAATTCGATACGTCGTATATGAGGATACGGATGTGATGGTGATCATTTCAGATGTGGCCAGGCTGTCCCCTTCTGGCTTGCACGGACGATTGTCAAGACGCGCGATGATGAGGACATTGTGAAACATGTGTCTACGGACGGGCGAAGGAAATCTGGAGACGCCGAATGGCCATTCGCCTCATCTCAGATTCATTCCAATTGGATTGTGGTAGGCTCAGTGGCGGAAAGTGTTTAGCGGCGTCGCTTTAACTTTCCTATTGCACCGAGTCATCGTTGTTTTTTTGCCACCAAGTGACTCTTTTTGCCTTCATCGGTGCACATGGGTCATAACAGTCTCAGGTATGTCTTGAATGTGGGGGGCTGAGCTGAGTCTTTATTTGAACTGCGGCGAGATGCACTACGGTCTTTGAGCCGTTATTCCTCTATTTTGAGCAGCGTCAAATGCAATCAAGATGTTGTTTTAACGTAAGGTGTTGAACGCATTTGCAACAAACATACACACAGATAAGGTGGTACTAATTGCCTTGTTCCTCGTAGATTAACGAAGAGAATGGAAAGATAGCTGGATTGATATTTCGGCTACATGCTTTTATTGCAACGAATATCAGCAGTCAATTTAATCTTCCTCGCCAGTCCCACGGTTATTCAACCTATAGGTGAAGTGAGCCTGGCAACCGGCGACATACTCGCAGGGGACTAGACTTCATACTGAACATAGCGTCTCATCGGCTTGATCGCTGAGCTAATGCAGTTTTCCTCAGTAATATGGCCTATGAGAAATTAATGCCATAAAATCCAAGAGCGTAGTTTATGCTGCAAGATCTTGACTGGCTTTTGCTATTAAATAGGCAACGAAAGCAAACCAGAGCCACTTTCTAGATGTTTCTGCTGCATACTTAGCATTTCAGTAGTGCTAAATTTGAAATATCCACGAAATTAAGTGCTGTCGTTGTCGTTGTCATGGTGACATGCCCCTACAAACTTGTGGCACGGCGTGAAGTCGCGGAATGAATTTTAGGGCGTCTTAAAGTGCTAGTTTTGTCTGATTCACCCTGCTAAAGATTTCCTGCGCAGCATTGTGCGGTGGTAGTCCGTAAAACGAGAATACGGCGGCCACCGCCTTATCATTATTTGTCAATGCAATCAGACAAGATGCGTTGTGGCGTGGTTTCGTACCTGATGTCGTCAAGTGCCCGTCGAAGAGTTTTAGAGCCAGGATTTATCCCAGCATTTTATTGGAAAAGAGCTCTGAACGCGATTTGAAGTTTGAGCTATTCTTTCCCGCAAATGACCCAGATTCGATCCCCGCGCGCGAGCCTGACGTGAAAAATGCATAGGAAGCAGTTCCAGCCTGAGCGCCAGGCCACTGGGGCAACTTAGGCACTCAAGCGGGAGCTGCGATCCAGGCAGATGCATGACTATGGCTTGCGCATGCTTTTCCTCCAATGTGCTCCCAAACTAATTAAGCCTCCAGTGATAAGAGGGTCGATGTGGTCATAGGTGAAGGAATGTTGTTTTTTAATGGGTAAAGGTCAGGATGGTGGTATATATCAAAGTGGCCCCAGACCTCCTAATGCAACCACCGGGAACCTGGATACCCGGTTAAGGTTGAGTTTGTCACTTAAGGTCACTGGTGATATTCTAGGTTAGTGACTTCGTTCGACCATTAAATGGTCATAATAAGCAAATCACGCAAGCGTCGTCATTTCTGCGTTTGAATAATTGTCAAGGATTGCACTAGACGGTATGTTTCTAAAAACAAAATCTTTATCGGGATCATTTTAGGTCAGAAACCTACTCTTACGTTTAAAAGGTCCATGCAAGATGTCTGTTGCGGCACTGTTATTAATAAATTTCAAGTAAGCACCAAAACTACTCCACACAACAAGCCCTCGAATAAAGAAGCACGTTGGTTCTGATCTGGGTCTAGCTTGCATACCCGACCTTAGACCAATTATATCTGTTTTAGTCCCAATTCAGTTGCTTTGTTGCCGAAGAAACTATCTCGAGACGTAAAGCTTCGTCTAACACTCCGATGTCGCATCAGATTGAACGATTTCATAGAAATTGCATTGGTTGACAACTACAGCCTAACTTTGACACGTCATTTGTCAGTGACTTGGCAATAATTTGTTTACCAAAAAATGCGTTACTCATTTGCCTATGGCTATGCGAGGTTCGGCGCGGCTGCACCGCGTCGGTCGGAAATTATTCCGTAAAAACTTCGAGGGGAGGGGGGGGGGTAGAACTGAGCACTACCCGAGCGCGGGTTAATTCTCCGATAAGACGTCGCGGCGGAACTTCGCAGCAAACGCAGCTTATTGCAGTCTACAGAACTTAAAACATCGCTGAACAATGCCAAAACGCTCGGACAATGGCCCACAACTGGGCCAGGGTTAACAAGACATGAACTGTGCAACTGAAACATGCAGCATGCTTCAAAAACAGAAAATGCTCTAGTAAACATGGCACGAACGAGTTGCTCTAGAATTTTGACGGGCTCTGTCAGCTGGACTTAATTGAAACTGGCATCGCACATTGCGCTTTGTTTGTTCAGTTTGTTCTTTTTACCTGTTAAGCAGTTATCAAAAGCGTTTGAAGCCCAAATAATTTGAAAATATTTTGAGCTCTCATTTGTAATGTTTTACGTATGCTTTGGCCCCAGAAGCTTACGGGCCAGAATCAACGTTGGGGAACCAGTGGCGCACCCAAAATAGTATAAGTCGACACTCGTGCATGCCACCCTTTGAATTACTGGCGTATGTACGTCACCCTTTGAGATACCGGCACATTTACACCTGTTGAATTGCCGCCGTATTTACGTTACGTGTTGAACTGCTGCCGTATTCACGCCACCCGTTAAATTGCTTCCGTATTCACGCCACCCAATTGCTGTCGCATTCAAGTTGCCTGTTGAATTGCCGCCGCCATCGTCACCCGCTGCATCGCCGCCGTGTTTACGTCACTCCTTGAATTGCTCCCGTATTCACGCCACCCGTTGAATTGCTCCCGTATTCACATCACCTGTTGAACTGCTGCCGTGCATACGCCACCTTTTGAAATCGCCGTCCCGTTTAATCTACCCCTAACATTGCTGCCGTTTTTGCGCCGCCACGTTTTCTTCGGGCCATGTCGATAAAATATGTCGTCGCTGGCCCTCGTACTGTGCTATGGTATGCCTGCGGTCGCACCATTCGCGCGTAGTGCTGACCAGGAATGCCCAGCTACTTGGGAGACTCGAATGACTTGCGCGAAACTCGCGCCCACGGGCGTCAGGGAATACATGAGGGCACTGCATGGTTGCTGCCTCCCTCTCCGCCCACGTGCGACGCGTCAGTTCCCAGGCCGTGATCACGCTCGTTTGACGAGCTATCAGTCCTACCAATGCCTTCAGTATCTTCACAGAACTCACTGGCAAACCGTTGTTTTACCAGGCAAAGCCTGGTCATAGATCAGCGTTCGAGGTTTGCAGCACACCGAACAATATATGTGCGAGACCCCAACACACAACCATATATCTGTACTTTTCAAAAATAACAAAACAGTACGTAAGCTTCGGCGCGCATCACGAACACACTGCAAGACCGTATGTTGATCGTGCGATGGCCCGGTGAGAAAATAGCTCAGCGGGCATGGAATAAGCAGTTCACGTCCTCCACTGACAGCACATCACCGGCGGCGAAGATCCCCGCCCTGTGCCAGGTAACCAAGCCCTCAGCGGCCGGCGGGTCCCGCCATTCACCCTGTCGCAGCGACCACACCAGAAAATAAGGTACAACACGTGCCCGTTGAACAGTGTAGAGAACATACGACAACGCAACGTTACACATCACTAGAAGCTGAGGTAAACGTAAATCAGCCTTTATGTCCACAAGTACCCCCCCCCCCTTACAGCCATACAACATACGACTGGAAAAGGACCTGGAAAGCCTCGCCTGCTTCACGGGCCGCATGCCGCTCCTCTGGATAGCCATCGTGATCACCGGAGTGCGGTCAAAAGCAGACACCAACAAGCAGGAATAGGGCCAAGAGATTCGGTCAGCGCGACCGGGGGTCGGTGGTGAGACTGTCGCCAGGTGGCGAGTGCGCCCGCTCCGCTGCGCTGCCGCTCCGCGAGCCGCCCCCAGAGCCGGGACGCCTCCCTCCACCGGCCGTCCAGCTGCGGTCCACTAGGGGGAGGCCAGCTCCTGCGGCGCCGGGGCGGGGCAGCCGCCCAGGCTGTCCACGCAGTCGCGGAAGTGTTTCCAGGTTTGCAGTCCCTGCGACAGAGGCGGGACGTCACGACACGGGCGGATGCGGAGCACGCGCACAGGGCAGTTGGGCGGGTACCTGTCAGCCAGGCAGTCCTCCCTTAATATCGGGGCACTTCCAAAGTCGTGTATTGACGTGTGCACTGCTGGCGATCTCTTGTACAAGCGTCCGCCGAAGGGCCCTCGTCCCACCAAGCCTTCCCGTCCTTTAAAATGTTTGGGGGCCTGTTTTCCTCTTCGACTTCTCATAGTCTACGTGCCCCGGAAAATCCAGTGACGTCATTACTGGGTCAGTGATAGAGAAGTACGACTGGGCGCATCCCTTAAGCACTCCGTTGGTGCACTCTTGTCGTGCCAGTGATCACTCGGTACTTTTCGGCGCACCTCTAATTATGCAACATTCAAGATATCACGAACATATCTTTATCTGATTCATGCAATGTTTGTTCTCACCTTCTTGCAAATTCGAATTTGAAG